AGATATTGAGTTGGAAAAGCGTTAATTTTTGCAACTGGAATTAACGGCATCCGGGATATTTAGACTACAAATTAACGGGATGTGGGATACTCAGAGACCTCCCCCACCCCTCTCCCCACCCTTCCAAATTAGTAGGGTCTAACTGTATTTCAAACTTATTTCTGTCGCTCACGGTTTAACAAGTTTTACTGTTTGTAACTCTATTGAGCTGTAGCGGTGCCGTGTGAACAGAGACGGCAAATGTCTAGGAAAAAAAACTTAAAAAGTTTAATCTTCAGAATCTTCAACTGCTAGCAAGGTCTTTACAAACTAATCACTGTTAAAATACACGGGAAAAGTGATTGGAAAATAAGCTTTGTCTTGAATGAAAAACTGTAAAACGTTGGAATCTTTGGTTGTTGATGTATGATAAAAGTTCCATTGCANGTGTGAACAGAGACGGCAAATGTCTAGGAAAAAAAACTTAACAAGTTTAATCTTCAGAATCTTCAACTGCTAGCAAGGTCTTTACAAACTAATCACTGTTAAAATACACGGGAAAAGTGACTGGAAAATAAGCTTTGCCTTGAATGAAAAACTGTAAAACGTTGGAATCTTTGGTTGTTGATGTATGATAAAAGTTCCATTGCAAGAATCTTTAAACGAAGACGAGTTTCCTCTGTATGTTGCATCCCTCTCTACTGCATGCTATCAGGAATTGCTCTTAAGGTGGCGATTCAACTCTAAAAGATAGAAGACATAGAAGATGTAAATTATTTCCAGGTTGCAACGAAAACACTATCAATGATACGAATAATTGATTATCAGTAGCATATACTCTACGGAGGCTCGTCCACACTACGCCGGAGGAATTTGAAAACAGAGGTTTCAATCTGAAAACTCATCAGACAAATGCTTTCCATCCACGCTACGCTGGAGGAATTTCAGAACAGAGGTTTCACTCTGAAAACTCATCAGACAAATGCTTTCCGTCCACGCTACGCCGGAGGAATTATAAGACGCAACAATCACCGGCCATTTTGGATTTGTGTTTGAGGAAAACTCGGTCAGGGAAATCACATGATCATCGTGACGCCATCGTTTTCGAAAAGCTGCGTTTTCAACATGTTTTCCGTCCACACGAAAACGAAAAGCTGGCGTTTTCCTCCAGTTTGAAGAGCGTTTTTGAAAAGCTCCGTTTTCGTGACAGATTAGTATAAACGGTAGTCCTAACCGTAGAAATAAAGGTGCGTTTTCAAGTTCCTCCGGCGTAGTGTGTACGGAGAAAACCCAGTCCGTAACCTTTTGGGTCAGAATATAGTCCACGCAGAGTGCCCAGTTATACTCTTAGATACTATTATAGCTTACTGTAGTGACAGAAAACGAAAGGCAAATTGCATATTGCAGGTCTACTTACCGATGGTACAACGTACAAGACTGAGTTAGATTTTATTCTCTGACGTAGTGTCTTCGCTGTCCATTTTGTGCCTTTAAAGAAATCCAATTTGCCTGAAGAGTCCGCCGCAGCGAGACGAATTCTGAAAGGAAAGTTAAATCATGTCAATTATTGTTTCGTGATTGGTGAGGTATTTGAACGTCTCCCAAATTTTTTCAGTTTCAGTTTTAGCCAATCGAATTGCGTAAAAAAGCGTACACTATCACCAACCAATCAGATTAAATATACTATTTTATCAACCAATCAGAAGAGAAAGCCAACCAAACCGTAACTTGGTTTACGCCCGTTTTCCCGCGCTTGACGCGAGCTACACGATTTTGCCTCGAGCTCAGATTGGTTCATAGCGCTACCCGTCAAACATGTTTCTTGACAGGGTGCTTCCCATTAGGCCAAACCGACCGGTCAGAGATCAGTGGGAATACCTGAGGAAGATGGAACGACATTTTCCGATTAACCCGAGCCAACCAATAGGAATGACTCTTGCCATTTTTTATTCCTTTTCCGAATTCCCTAATTAGGGCAAAGAACCGGTTTGTCAAAAATGGAACGGCGAATTTCGGTCGGAATAATCCGAACAATCCGACCGAAATAAGTGGACCACCTCCAGAGGTGACCCCGAATATTCCGGTCGGAAGAAACCGAAACGGACCTTTCTATTTAAATTCCGACCAAAATTTCTGGAATCTTTGGCATAATAAAACGTTCATTAGTAAATGGTTGTTTGTTGGTTCGCCGTAATGTTATACCAGTCATGTTGTGCGACAGAAACGCAAATTAAAAATAAAAATTGTTACCTTTTCTTTCCAAGCGAGCTTAGAACCGTCCGCACTTCTTTAAGGACGTCTGCGGCAGTCATATCATTTTCTAAATGGAGTGTTCCTCGGTTTACCGCAGAACTTGTTTTAAGTTTTAACAATTCACTCTGAGGCGGTAAACGTGTTGAGCCTGATGGAAGTAGTAGCAATTTCCTTTTGGCATTGTGGCTTTGATACGAAGACTCTTTCTCCTTCTTAACAGAAAGTAAGGAGTTTTGTGATGTGTTTAGTGAAACATCTACNGACAAATGCTTTCCGTCCACGCTACGCCGGAGGAATTTGAAAACAGAGGTTACAATCTGAAAACTCATCAGACAAATGCTTTCCGTCCACGCTACGCCGGAGGAATTTGAAAACAGAGGTTACAATCTGAAAACTCATCAGACAAATGCTTTCCGTCCACGCTACGCCGGAGGAATTTGAAAACAGAGGTTACAATCTGAAAACTCATCAGACAAATGCTTTCCGTCCACGCTACGCCGGAGGAATTTGAAAACAGAGGTTACAATCTGAAAACTCATCAGACAAATGCTTTCCGTCCACGCTACGCCGGAGGAATTTGAAAACAGAGGTTACAATCTGAAAACTCATCAGACAAATGCTTTCCGTCCACGCTACGCCGGAGGAATTTGAAAACAGAGGTTACAATCTGAAAACTCATCAGACAAATGCTTTCCGTCCACGCTACGCCGGAGGAATTTGAAAACAGAGGTTACAATCTGAAAACTCATCAGACAAATGCTTTCCGTCCACGCTACGCCGGAGGAATTTGAAAACAGAGGTTACAATCTGAAAACTCATCAGACAAATGCTTTCCGTCCACGCTACGCCGGAGGAATTTGAAAACAGAGGTTACAATCTGAAAACTCATCAGACAAATGCTTTCCGTCCACGCTACGCCGGAGGAATTTGAAAACAGAGGTTACAATCTGAAAACTCATCAGACAAATGCTTTCCGTCCACGCTACGCCGGAGGAATTTGAAAACAGAGGTTACAATCTGAAAACTCATCAGACAAATGCTTTCCGTCCACGCTACGCCGGAGGAATTTGAAAACAGAGGTTACAATCTGAAAACTCATCAGACAAATGCTTTCCGTCCACGCTACGCCGGAGGAATTTGAAAACAGAGGTTACAATCTGAAAACTCATCAGACAAATGCTTTCCGTCCACGCTACGCCGGAGGAATTTGAAAACAGAGGTTACAATCTGAAAACTCATCAGACAAATGCTTTCCGTCCACGCTACGCCGGAGGAATTTGAAAACAGAGGTTACAATCTGAAAACTCATCAGACAAATGCTTTCCGTCCACGCTACGCCGGAGGAATTTGAAAACAGAGGTTACAATCTGAAAACTCATCAGACAAATGCTTTCCGTCCACGCTACGCCGGAGGAATTTGAAAACAGAGGTTACAATCTGAAAACTCATCAGACAAATGCTTTCCGTCCACGCTACGCCGGAGGAATTTGAAAACAGAGGTTACAATCTGAAAACTCATCAGACAAATGCTTTCCGTCCACGCTACGCCGGAGGAATTTGAAAACAGAGGTTACAATCTGAAAACTCATCAGACAAATGCTTTCCGTCCACGCTACGCCGGAGGAATTTGAAAACAGAGGTTACAATCTGAAAACTCATCAGACAAATGCTTTCCGTCCACGCTACGCCGGAGGAATTTGAAAACAGAGGTTACAATCTGAAAACTCATCAGACAAATGCTTTCCGTCCACGCTACGCCGGAGGAATTTGAAAACAGAGGTTACAATCTGAAAACTCATCAGACAAATGCTTTCCGTCCACGCTACGCCGGAGGAATTTGAAAACAGAGGTTACAATCTGAAAACTCATCAGACAAATGCTTTCCGTCCACGCTACGCCGGAGGAATTTGAAAACAGAGGTTACAATCTGAAAACTCATCAGACAAATGCTTTCCGTCCACGCTACGCCGGAGGAATTTGAAAACAGAGGTTACAATCTGAAAACTCATCAGACAAATGCTTTCCGTCCACGCTACGCCGGAGGAATTTGAAAACAGAGGTTACAATCTGAAAACTCATCAGACAAATGCTTTCCGTCCACGCTACGCCGGAGGAATTTGAAAACAGAGGTTACAATCTGAAAACTCATCAGACAAATGCTTTCCGTCCACGCTACGCCGGAGGAATTTGAAAACAGAGGTTACAATCTGAAAACTCATCAGACAAATGCTTTCCGTCCACGCTACGCCGGAGGAATTTGAAAACAGAGGTTACAATCTGAAAACTCATCAGACAAATGCTTTCCGTCCACGCTACGCCGGAGGAATTTGAAAACAGAGGTTACAATCTGAAAACTCATCAGACAAATGCTTTCCGTCCACGCTACGCCGGAGGAATTTGAAAACAGAGGTTACAATCTGAAAACTCATCAGACAAATGCTTTCCGTCCACGCTACGCCGGAGGAATTTGAAAACAGAGGTTACAATCTGAAAACTCATCAGACAAATGCTTTCCGTCCACGCTACGCCGGAGGAATTTGAAAACAGAGGTTACAATCTGAAAACTCATCAGACAAATGCTTTCCGTCCACGCTACGCCGGAGGAATTTGAAAACAGAGGTTACAATCTGAAAACTCATCAGACAAATGCTTTCCGTCCACGCTACGCCGGAGGAATTTGAAAACAGAGGTTACAATCTGAAAACTCATCAGACAAATGCTTTCCGTCCACGCTACGCCGGAGGAATTTGAAAACAGAGGTTACAATCTGAAAACTCATCAGACAAATGCTTTCCGTCCACGCTACGCCGGAGGAATTTGAAAACAGAGGTTACAATCTGAAAACTCATCAGACAAATGCTTTCCGTCCACGCTACGCCGGAGGAATTTGAAAACAGAGGTTACAATCTGAAAACTCATCAGACAAATGCTTTCCGTCCACGCTACGCCGGAGGAATTTGAAAACAGAGGTTACAATCTGAAAACTCATCAGACAAATGCTTTCCGTCCACGCTACGCCGGAGGAATTTGAAAACAGAGGTTACAATCTGAAAACTCATCAGACAAATGCTTTCCGTCCACGCTACGCCGGAGGAATTTGAAAACAGAGGTTACAATCTGAAAACTCATCAGACAAATGCTTTCCGTCCACGCTACGCCGGAGGAATTTGAAAACAGAGGTTACAATCTGAAAACTCATCAGACAAATGCTTTCCGTCCACGCTACGCCGGAGGAATTTGAAAACAGAGGTTACAATCTGAAAACTCATCAGACAAATGCTTTCCGTCCACGCTACGCCGGAGGAATTTGAAAACAGAGGTTACAATCTGAAAACTCATCAGACAAATGCTTTCCGTCCACGCTACGCCGGAGGAATTTGAAAACAGAGGTTACAATCTGAAAACTCATCAGACAAATGCTTTCCGTCCACGCTACGCCGGAGGAATTTGAAAACAGAGGTTACAATCTGAAAACTCATCAGACAAATGCTTTCCGTCCACGCTACGCCGGAGGAATTTGAAAACAGAGGTTACAATCTGAAAACTCATCAGACAAATGCTTTCCGTCCACGCTACGCCGGAGGAATTTGAAAACAGAGGTTACAATCTGAAAACTCATCAGACAAATGCTTTCCGTCCACGCTACGCCGGAGGAATTTGAAAACAGAGGTTACAATCTGAAAACTCATCAGACAAATGCTTTCCGTCCACGCTACGCCGGAGGAATTTGAAAACAGAGGTTACAATCTGAAAACTCATCAGACAAATGCTTTCCGTCCACGCTACGCCGGAGGAATTTGAAAACAGAGGTTACAATCTGAAAACTCATCAGACAAATGCTTTCCGTCCACGCTACGCCGGAGGAATTTGAAAACAGAGGTTACAATCTGAAAACTCATCAGACAAATGCTTTCCGTCCACGCTACGCCGGAGGAATTTGAAAACAGAGGTTACAATCTGAAAACTCATCAGACAAATGCTTTCCGTCCACGCTACGCCGGAGGAATTTGAAAACAGAGGTTACAATCTGAAAACTCATCAGACAAATGCTTTCCGTCCACGCTACGCCGGAGGAATTTGAAAACAGAGGTTACAATCTGAAAACTCATCAGACAAATGCTTTCCGTCCACGCTACGCCGGAGGAATTTGAAAACAGAGGTTACAATCTGAAAACTCATCAGACAAATGCTTTCCGTCCACGCTACGCCGGAGGAATTTGAAAACAGAGGTTACAATCTGAAAACTCATCAGACAAATGCTTTCCGTCCACGCTACGCCGGAGGAATTTGAAAACAGAGGTTACAATCTGAAAACTCATCAGACAAATGCTTTCCGTCCACGCTACGCCGGAGGAATTTGAAAACAGAGGTTACAATCTGAAAACTCATCAGACAAATGCTTTCCGTCCACGCTACGCCGGAGGAATTTGAAAACAGAGGTTACAATCTGAAAACTCATCAGACAAATGCTTTCCGTCCACGCTACGCCGGAGGAATTTGAAAACAGAGGTTACAATCTGAAAACTCATCAGACAAATGCTTTCCGTCCACGCTACGCCGGAGGAATTTGAAAACAGAGGTTACAATCTGAAAACTCATCAGACAAATGCTTTCCGTCCACGCTACGCCGGAGGAATTTGAAAACAGAGGTTACAATCTGAAAACTCATCAGACAAATGCTTTCCGTCCACGCTACGCCGGAGGAATTATAAAACGCAACAATCACCGGCCATTTTGGATTTGTGTTTAAGGAAGACTCGGTCAGGGAAATCACGTGATTATCGTGACGTCATCGTTCTCGAAAAGCTCCGTTTTCAAAATGTTTTCCGTCCACACGAACGCGAAAAGACGGCGTTTTCAAATTCCTCCAGTTTGAAGAGCTTTTTCGAAAAGCTCCCTTTCCGTGGAGGATTAGTGTGAACGGTATGCCAAGCCATAGAAATAAAGCTACGTTTTCAAATTTCTCCGGCATAGTGTGGCGTAGTGTGGACGGGAGAAAACCCTGTCCGCAACCTTTTGGGTCCGGCAGAATGTAGTCCAAGTGCAGTGCTCAATTATACTCTTAATTGCCATTATAGCTTATTATAGTGACAGGAAATGAAAGGCAAATTGCATATTGTAGGTCTACTTACCGATGGTACAACGTACAAGACCGAGTTAGATTTTATTCTCTGACGTAGTGTCTTCGCTGTCCATTTTGTGCCTTTAAAGAAATCCAATTTGCCTGAAGAGTCCGCCGCAGCGAGACGAATTCTGAAAGGAAAGTTAAATCATGTCAATCATTGTTTCGTGATTGTTGAGGTATTTGAACGTCTTTTTCAGTTTCAGTTTTAGCCAATCGAATTGCTTAAAAAAGCGTACACAATCACCAACCAATCAGATTGAATATACTATTTTATCAACCAATCAGAAGAGAAACCCAACCAAGCCGTAACTTGGTTTACCCCGCGCTTGACGCGAGCTACACGATTTTGCCTCGAGCTCAGATTGGTTCATAGCGCTACACGTCAGACATGTTTCTTGATAGGGCAGATACATAGGGTGCTTCCCATTATGCCAAACCGACCGGTCAGAGATCAGTGGGAATACCCGAGTAAGATGGAACGACATTTTCCGATTAAACCGGGCCAACAAATAGGAATGACTCTTGCCATTTTTTATTCCTTTTCCGAATTCCCTAATTAGGGCAAAGAANCCCCCCCCCCCCTCCCCTCGAACCTTTTAGTCAGGTCTCCCCGTTTACACTCCAACGTGAGAGAGCTCTAGACACAAGAGGATAACAAAGATAGAGCGATTAAATCCACGTGGTATCCACTGCACCGTGCTACCTGACTCCTCCCACTCAGCACTGTCCGAAAAAAAACATATAGTTTTCCTCCCTTATGTCAGAATAAACCAGTTTGGAAGGCCGTTGATTAATGGTCAGCGTTTTCCCAAAATCGGCAAACCAACCGAATGAGATGGCACTTGGGGATGGACCATTTGACTTTTGAGGGGTGGGAGCGTGTGAGAGATTTGGTAGTTGTAGAGGCATGATTTTTTTTAACCCTTTCATGCACGAGAAGGTTTTTTTTTCTGTGGATGGGTGTGTACACATGATATCATTTTCTCAGTGTAACAGGCCTCTTTCGGCTCATTGAACGTGCATGAAATTTTTCCAGCAGTGGTCGTGTGCATTCATCGTTTTTGGAACAAGTATGCTTGCAGGATATTCTTTTTCAAAATCGCCCCCGCCACAACTCCTCAAAAGTCAAATGGTCCACCCTTTAAGTACCATTTACAATTTGACTCCCTCTTATTGTATTCAATTGCCGACAAACTGTGGAATTCAGTAGATGGTACGGAATTTTCAGCTACTCTTTTCCACACTACCTCTAAAGGCAATTTACAATTATTTCTCAACATATTTTTCTAGCAAATTAATGTTCCACTTGACTTTTAACCGAAATTTCCGGATTTTTTGACTGAATGGTAAGTATCCATAGACTCTCTAACCAGCAAAAACAAGTTGAATATTTTTCTCACCAGAACAGTCTGTTCCAATAGCACGTGTATTTCCACTGGCTGTTTTCTTGGTGGATTTCAGCTTCCCTTTACCTGGTTTCTTTGGTTTGGTTTTTACTTCTTTTTTCTTGAGAGCTGGCAACAAAAGAAATATATAATGAGCTCTGGCTATTTATGTCCACTACTAATTGCAGCTAAGGGGTAGACCATTTGATTTCTGAGGGGGGGGAGGGTATTTTGACAATAAATATCCTGCAAGCAAACTTGTACCAAAAAAAGTCATGCACATGATCACTGCCCAAAAAGAGGTTCACTAATGCTCCGTAAGCTGAAAATATCAAGTTACACGGAGAAAAAAATGTCATGTATACACATGTCCCTATTGCAAGAAAGGGTTAAATGAAATTGTGCCCGTACCAAATCACCCAGGTAGGGGTTATCGGCTGAAGCCGAAGGCTGAGGCTTATAACCCTTACCAAAATGTCATGTTTTTACTTCTTCACTGACGGCAAGCAACACAAAGCGTGCGAACTTGACATGATTACCCTTAGAAATCATGCACTGCGGTCATACATGACATGATTACCCGTGACCTTGAGTTTCCTTGACATGATTATTGTATAATCTGCAGCTAGATGATGTCACAGGCGCTGATTTAGAAAATTCACTGTATGCTTTCAGCCAATCAGAAAAGAGATAGTGAGTTCAATGTATAATAAAAACAGTAAACGTTCTCTTGGAACCACAAGTATTTGTAAATGTTTTCCCTAGAAGTATATAATATCTTACTTCTCCTGGTTACAATATCACACAGAAATGCGAGAATACATCAGACCATCACATCATGACACATGACCTTGATGTACATGAACCATCAAATTCTCATAATCAATTGTGAAAGAAATGTTAGCTTATTAGTTTGGAGAATTACCATGTTGATCGAGCAAAGAACTAAAGGCTTCACTGAGTGTCTCACCTGGTTTTTTAACAGGTTTTAGTTGTTTTTTCTCTTCAACTTTGACTAGTTTTGCTGCTGCCATCGCCTCTCTCTCTTTTTCTTCAGCAGTAAGCCTGGAATTGAGAGGAAAAAGTTCAAGGTCTTATCTAAAATAATAAATTATACAGACTTGATCAGCAGCAGTTTTAT